CATCATCATCATCATCATCATCATCATCATCATCATCATCATCATCATCATTCGATACTGGGATACACCATGATACACCCAACCCATACACATCAATAGGACCGAGCTTGTTTCTGCATGTCGAGGCCGACCACATGTCGAGCCCGTCCTCGGGACTCGTGAGCGCGTCCACCGCGCTCTCTCGGTCCGCGTCCGTGTTTGGGTGGAGGAAGCTGTCGGATCTCTATGCCGAGTTGGAGCAAGGGCTTTGCTGGTTGGAGCTGGACTGGACGGGGCGTGCCTTTGTTGCTGCACGGGATCACCACGTGTAGAAAGCAATGCTGGCAAATGGGACAGATTCTTCTCATGAGCTGCTGGGTTGCTCCGGGAACCCCAACTCTTGAGCTGCATGTTCTTAGGTTGGGCTCGCATGAGGCCTCGAGTCGCTTGATGCTTTTTGGGGGGGATGGTGAGGCCTGGCCCGCGCCTCATCGGTTGTGATCGTTGGGGTGATTGTTGGGTTGTGGGGTGATCAGGACATGGACAAAAAAGCCTGTGCGGATTCTGGAGATGTTGTTTCTGAAGGTGCTCTACAAGGACACCGACAAGGACCCTGGGCACCAAGTTTTTCGGGGATGGGTCTCTGTGTGCCGCCAACTGGAACACCTAGGAATGAGCAGCCATCTGAAAAGTGCTGAGTGGAAAAGTGGAGAGGGAGACAGGAACATTCATGGACAGAATAGACTAACATCCTTGTTCCCTACATTTCCCTATATGATTTTGAACAGTTCCATATGCTTTAAGCCTTTGAAGAATGACTGTAGACCAACATCAATATCAATCTATACCGTGCACGATGTAATGAATATTCAGGACTATGACTTGCAGATTTTGCTCGCCCAAGTCGACCCACGCTTTCCGATGCTTTGTGCCGGGAGCCCTTTTTAGCCTCAACATGAACATGTCCTGAACAAATACTTTGTCCATGTCTTGATTTCTGTGTAATCCACTTGCCTTAGCCATCCCTAGCCTCCCAAACATGGAATGACATCGTCCGATCCGCCATCCGACTCATCGTCCTTGTGCTTCCAAAGCACCAACATGGCAAACCACTCCCTCCAAATCCATGGACATCGGGATTTTGCATCACTGACGCTCTGAACCGATCCGCCATGGCTGGCCTGGTGGCTTCGCCCCGGGTGACGTGGTCGAGGCGAGGTGGGTGAATACTGTAGGAGTGAGCGAGATGGGTGAGGAGCCCACTCCTCAGGCACCGTAAAATGGGTTTGGACTTTCAATGGACTTTCAATTGGTCTTTCAATGGGTTTGGACTCAATTTATCCCAAAGGCACCGTAATACCCTTGGGGGTTTTGGCACGGCATTGGAAGATTCACGATTTGTCAAAAGACGGTGCGTTCCCATCGCTGCCGATGGGGACCAACACCCCCCAAGAGGCGGGGTTGGTGGATTCCATACATGGAGTAGATGTGGCCTGAAGATTGATATTGTGCTTTTTCTGTGACAGATCCTAGGATGTTGGTCAATTGCTCAACTTGGCTTGCCTCATCTCCCTCTCGTAGTGAAATCAGAAGCATCTTCCAGGGATGTCCACTTTCCATGGTGTCAGGTGAGCTTCGGCCCGGACCCATTTCCAATGTGTCCTTCAACTGAACCTCAGTTCTCCGTGAATATCCAGTACATGGAAGTTTTGTTGACTTGATGCTCCGGAGGCACTTGTCACTTTGCAAAGTAGACTGACTGCTGGTGAAGTGCTGACAGCTTGGAAAGAATTGCACCATGTTGTACATCAGACTGATGCCTTCTAAAAACCGTGATCCTACTAGACGAGTTCACAGTGCTTTTGCACATTTTACGGCGCATCCCTGCGCCGCTGCTCTCAGCCATGGGAAGCAATGCCTCTGGAGTCTTAGAAGAGGCCGCTGCTCTAGGAAGAGTCACCTTTTGACCTGCGTCAAACGCCACTCTAAACGAGCAACCTTCCCCCCCCAATAAAGAGGCCTGTTGGCATGGGAACGCCATTGCATCGCTCTTGGCCAGGGTAGGGATGTCCCCAACAGGTCTCATGGCGTAAGGAAAAGCTGGAATGAAGAAAGCTCAACATGCTTTGTCATTTTTTGTCCATGCTTTGTTCATTCTCTTTGACTTGGGCCAGAAAAAGTGGCCGACTTGGATGAGAAAAAGACTCCGGGAATTGAGGTCTCACGTGTGATTGACACCTCTGCGGCGAGTTTGGGCGTGCTGGGACACATCACACGAGATCCCCAGCGATCCGGCGGCTTTAGAGAGAAAGAGAGAGAGAGAGAGAGAGAGAGAAAAAAGAATGAGTAGTCACAGGTGGTGCCCCAGAGAAGTCTCAAAGACTTTTGCAAGGCGGTGCCTCAAGGTCTCCCTTTTGATACTCCACAGGTCTCAAAAGGAGGCCTTCCTTCAATGACCTCAAGAAGGGCACGACTTGAAGCCTGATGTATGTTTTCCCCTGCCAAACCAAAGCACCCTCAGAGTGTAGTTTTTGGGGACCTATGACAGATGGGCGACGGTTTCTGAAAGGGGGATAGTTAAGCTCACGGCATGAAGACGCTCAGTACATCTTAGTAAAGTACCAAACATGACCAAATCCAGTGGAGTTGCTTGCCCAAAGTTGCGCAGCGTGTTGCGGACCTGTATATAACAGTACCGATCAACACCATGCGATGTGGAGGGCTCTTATCTCTTACTTGATCTCTTAATTAGCTACGTGTCTGAGTTTCTGACAAGTCACGAACAGCTTTCAGAATGGAACCCAAAAGGAACTCTGAGCTGCTAAATTTACAGTCTCCCAAAGGAACTTCACCGCAGTTTGCGGTTCAGTTAGGGATTCTTTGAGGAGTGCCCCCCCCGAACCTGCTCAGGACACCCTTCCGTTCCAAACAGTCCCTTCCTTGCTGAACCTCAGCTTTAGCGGGGAACGGTCACGGTTCACCACGGTATGGAACTGGACTGGGCCGGTGGTGTTTCGAGATCTTTCTCTCGGTTTTGCATAGGAAGGCATAGGTGTTCCCCCCCTTAGGATCCCTTAGGTGTTCCCCCAGCTTGGTTGGTTGAGCTCTCAGTTGCATTTGGGGTGTGAGAAGATGTTCTTTGTGGGGCGGGCACGACGTTTTGGTCGCCAAGTCGCCCCAAACACATTCGCCGCTGAGGCAAGGGGCTCGCTTGCTGGAGCTGGTCTCGAAGCACGACTTCCCAAGACTCATTCAGACCCTAAGCCCTTCGGCGAGACCTCATCCGATCTTCGGGGGTCGACACGAATGAGACATGACAGCGGGAAAGGGCATCCAAAAAAGGAGGAAGTGACAGCTGTTGATATGGGTGTGTAGCTCAACTAGAAAAAACCTCCCGAAGATCCCCTGGTTGGGAGGGACACAGTGACTCACATCCATTGGGCCAGGGAGGTCCCGCTATGGCAAAATACACAGCCATTGGTTGTACGTACCTGTGTGCCAAGAGATATCTAGAATCTACAATATTGTTGATGGACCAAAGGTGAGGCCTTTTGTGAGACCATCGACAGGACATCGGGTGTTCCCCTGTTTCGAAGAGCTATAGGGCTATAAGGCTATAATACCCAGCAAATCCCAGTTACCTCTATATATGAGGAACCAGGGATTCGTTCGGTCTATGGTTTTAGTCCTTCGAACCACTGGTTACCAGCGGCATCGTGGTGACTGGACGCCCTGGGATAATATGTTTGCTGCAAATTGCTATGGAATGTATAGCATACCTAAGGGGCCACTTGAGTTGAAGCAGCGTTTTCACGATACTTCTCAGATGTGAAAGATCGACCGAGCCCGGTTTCATGCACCGTTGATTAGACCGTTGACTTCTTAGATCTACTTATAGTTTCCATCAAAGTGCGGCACAACACGCATTTTTTTCAGAACCGTTGTTGGTTTTGCTCAATTGAGGCAATCCTGGTACAGCACTACCGCATGATTTCTTCCCATCTTGGATACGTCGTGCTGGGGGCTACTTTCCGAAGTTCGCACAAGTGCTCTCAGTTCGTGCTGATTTGATGCTCGGAACGGTTCTCATCTTCGCCTGACCTTCCGCTGTCCCTCTACCAAGGGTCTATAGGTACTTATCTAGCAAAGCGTTACATGGGGCTGGTCAAAACCTGGATGTAGCTTGACCTTCCAGATAGGTCAACCAATCTCTCCTGGTGTTGACCCACATTGACCCACCACATAAAACCACCAGATTCCCAGGGAAGAGGGGTTCCTAGGGCTACTCATACTCCATGCCATCGGCCATGGGCAGTTTGCATGGACCAGCTCTGAGTGCACAGTTAAGGATTCAAGATCCTGAAGTTCTTGCAGGATTCGCAAGATGTTTGGAAGATATGCCCAGTCGTCCTTTGATTGAAGTGAAACACATGCTTGAAGGGCTCGGTTGGTCAGAGGCAGTTCTGGGAATTGAAGATGCCATCAATGCGGGGACCATTGCACAGGTGCATGCACTGTCTTTGCACGAGCTGAGATTGGCGATTAAGGTCACGTTTCCGGATAATCTCCAGCGTTTCCAAACCGACTTCCGACTCTTTGAACATGCCAAAGCGATCCTGAAAGCATTGAAGCTGAATGATGAGAAGGCCAACATCGTGTCCTCGATGTTCGATGCAGTTGGAAAGAATGAGAAAAGTGTACTGCGAGAGTTCGACTTGATGCATGAGGCACGGTACTGTAGTTTCCTCATGTTCTCTCCCACATAGGGTGTGGACCAGAGCCGGATCACACGCATGGTTTGTTAAGTACCTAGTATGCGTCAACCGGGGCCCAAACAATTCACTGCAGCTTGGTTTCCATAGACCGTTGGGGCTTGAACGAGGTGTCCTGCACCAGAAAACAATTCAAAGATGCTAGGCCCGTGCCATGAGCATGGCGAGTGACCTGCTTGGACTTTGGCCAAGACGCTATCAGCAATGGCAAGCTTCCATGATCCACACCATCAACGAGCTCACCGACATGCCCAATGAGATAAGAGCACTCCTCACAATGTCCACAGAGCAATCCAGAACTTGGCACGTAGCAGTTCCCGAAGCGGTAGAAGGCTACGTCACTGACTCTTGGCTTGAACTTGCTCAAAAATGCTTTAAAACGACGATGCAGCCAACCTACCGTAGAGAAAAAGAGCCAACCCGCCTACTTCAAGACGAGCGAAGAACTACCTTTGGTCCTATTTCAGGTGCCTCTATCGTTTCGGCTTGGCAACATCGTCAAAAGGCTTTGCATCTCGGGTGTCAACCAGGCAACAGTTGACGAGGTCATCCCGAACTGACGACGCTTTCGAACGCCACATCCTGTTGCCCAAACCAGGAATGAACATACGCACTTTCGAGGTGAGGGCATGTTGATACCGCATCAAATCAATGAGAGGTTGTTTGTGAGTCGGTTTTCCTCAAAGATGTTCAAATCGCTCACTCCCAGTGACTGGCTACAGCTTCTTGTTCCTAGTAGCCATGCCAGGAGCCCCTAGTAGCTTCTTGTTCCTAATATTAGAAGCAATATGAAGTAATTATATATAGGACATGTGGTGACAAGTCTTTCTAGCTGTTTATTGGCACAGATCGTTTTTTCATTTCCGAGGCGTCTGCCTTGATGATGACTTGGGCAGGTGGCGAGTCATTGCAACAGCTGGTCTCCAGTCGACCCCAAGAAGCTGCCATGGTGTTTGTGTCCTTCGTGGTGCCTTTCATGGGTTCCTGGGTGTCATACAGTAATTGGAGGTGCTTGGTTTTTCCATGGGATGTGCCCAGTTGGCGCAGATTCTTTGGTCGTTCTGAAAAAGAGGGCGATGGATTCAACCGATCTCGGATGCTTCGGAGATGGACTGAGTAGCATTCTGGCAAGTCTGGGAGTGTCAACAGAATTCATAGCCTCCTATCAGTTTTCTTCCATTTCGATGGAACTCGTTGTCACCTAATCAACAAAGGTTGGTTGATGCTTTGCAAAAGCAGCTCCGCTTTGGCACATGTGGACCCGCACTTGGGGAACTTCCGCTGGGGCGATGGAACTCTGTGGATCTTGGACTGGGGGAGTACGATCTGCCTGGAGGAGGAGAAACGTCAAGCCTTGTGTTTAATGGTGGGTTGCTTAGCTGCGGGCGCGGAGGATGACATTGTGGCCACCTTAGCAGCTCGCTTTGGGATCAAGGGGCATTCCCAAGAGGTGGCGCGGGTGATTCGCGGTTTGTGCTTTGGAGCGGCTTGAGATGCTTTGTTCTTTGGGTTTTTGGGCTAGGCGGTTTGGGTCTTCTCGGAAGTGTATCCAACCCTTCCTGTACGCCTATGATATGAAAGAGAATCTTTACCATTCTTGGGTCTAGCCTAGTCAAATGCCGCCCGACTTTGGCCTCAGAGAACCTTCACTTAGGTTCAATGCCAGTTGCCATAGAGAGCCATCTGATGCATTGCAAGAAGCTGTTGCAGATGATCTCTTGCAACATATGGACGATGATATTGTGCCTGTCGTTCGTTGTCTCGCCATCCTGGGTTGCTTGTAGGAAGACATCACGTAACCTTTGAAGCAACCTTTTTGTTGACGCAAAAGCCACTTTTCTGATCAGTCTATAGACATCGCATGTCACAAGTGCATCAGATGATCGCGTTTTCAGGTGGAATTCTGAAGATGATGCAGCAGAGAATTCGCGATGAGCATCATCGCGACGTCCCTTTGTCCTTGGCAGTGTTGTGGGCTCCCTTCAGTGACGGCGCATGAGGTCGAAAAAGTCCCTTAAGCGATCGGGTCGCATGCGCCGATGGGGGCGTGGATAGGGTGGGTGTTTGGGCCGTTGGGCATTCGTAGTCGCAACCTGGAAGCATTTTCAACATCGTTGGAAACGGACGCGGCCAGGTCTATAGCCCGGGGGCATCCAACCAAACGGGAACGGTCCAGGCCGTCTTCGCCTGTCCAGCCTTTAAATCTCTCGGAATCCTTTGATTTGCTATTAGGTTGGAGGCCTATCGGGTTGGATCCGAATCCTTTGATTCGCCAGGTTGCTATTGAGTCCTGCTTGCCATCCGTTGGGCACACAGCCACCGCTGGGGCAGACGCCCACCGCGCGTCTTCGTGCGCCCGTGGTGGCGTCGCTAGCAGTGCTGGTGGCAAGTGTTCGCAGAGGCGGGTTCATTGTGGAAGCAGAGTGTGACACATTGTCGTGACACGGGACGTTTTACTGAGGTTTGGATATAGAATTGCAAGAACTGTTGATCATCATAGCTATTTCAACAGCATTGCAAAAACATCCCTCCAGTTGGTTTATAAGAAAAGGTTGCAGTCTTTACAATCTTTGATCTTCCTGGACTCATTTTTGTGATACCTCTCTGTCCGGGTTCCATGCTTAGTGTCTTCCCCTGCGATGCTCTCCTTTGATGGTTTCGGCATGATTGTGCAGCATTGTGCAGCTGAGTGGGTGACCTGAATCTGAGTGACCTGTGATTTTTATGTAAACACTATATTGTACTACATGCTCATGTGAAAGCACTTACCTATTTGGGCTTGGCCCGCAAAAATGACGCAAACGGACATCACCAGATTCCGAATTCACCATGCAAAGTTTGACTCATACTACAACATATATATATATATAGATTTGATCACGTATGTTTATGTATTTTGTTGTACAGTGCACACGTTCGTGGCCATCCGCAGACGAGACAGTGAAGCTCTTGGTTGTGTTGAGCTTTGAATCACCCTTTTTGGAAGGTTCTCGGACCTCCAGAAGCATCCGAAGAGCTTGGTTTGGCAAGAGCAACCAAGATAAGTTTGAAAGTCCCTTGGCAAAATGAGTGACAGAAGCAAGGCGCCTGATTATTTTTACTTGGAATATCAGTTTTTGCTCACTCTTCCCCTTTTGCGGGTGCTTTGTAGAGTGGAACTTGCTTCCTAGATCGCCTCAATGCTTTGTGAAGCCTCCACCATCTCCACGAATGGGCCTCCACAGACTCCACAGGTGGCAAGCTTGCTTCATGTGGTGGTCGAACTAAAGGCGGCGCGGCAAGCGCTTGCAGTAATGGTTTGGTCTCTAGATTTCTACGGAAACACTTAGGCCATGTCTTGAAAATCAACACCCCGCGATACATGGATATCTTTGGACATTGATTTTTTGATCTCTTGCAGGGGGGTTACTCTCCGAGTCACTAGCTTGGAAGTGGAGTTCACCACCTGTTTGGTATTCGACAATGCTCATCCAAGAGGCCATGCCATCCACTTCCAGGAGTATTTCAGGAAGTGTACACTCCCGAAAACAACCTGGAACCTGAAAATGGACCTGTGGAAGACGATTTTGCTCTACTACCCTGTGGTCTTCCATGTTAATCTGCCCGGGTGCATTGATCAAGACATGCGCATTCGGACTTGGCTGTGATGTGGTGCCGACTTCCACGGCTTCGTAGCCTCTCTGAGGCTACGTGGCGCAATGCACCAACTACACCGATCGCGAGCGACTTTCTTAATTTCAGCTGATATAACTCGAAGAGTGAGTTTGCTGCTAAGAGTCATAGATATTTTTGCACCTCGTCTGTTTGTTCCTTTTCTTGGATTCAAACGGAGCTCTTCTTTTGGGTGACAGCAGCTCCGGGAACCCCCCAGCAGCACAGCTCCGGTTCGCAGTTCCTCGGTCATGCGCGCGTGTTCGCTCCATCGAGGTTGGCGTGCCTTCCGCCACGATGGCGGAAGCTGCTCAAAGGGACCGCGCCGCGATGGCGGACGGTCGTTGAGTCTTTGACGTTCGGTGGATGGCTAAACATTAGGTCCTAGGTCCTAGGTCATGTGATTTTTCGGTACTGAAGAGTCCATGATCATCGATTTTCCAAGATTTCTTGAGGAATTTTGAGGTATCTTGAACGAGCGTCACTCGAACTGGCATCCACCGGGACCCAGTATGGGACCCCATTGAGTTCCTGAAATCAACTGGCCCATTGATTACAGTATGTGTAATGTAGACTCTTGATTATATCATCAACCCCGCATATTGAAGAGGTCTTACCAATCCCATGTTTGGGGGGGTTAAACGTCCTCAAGAGCCTACATGAGATGATTTGAACGTCGAAATGCCGTCGTCCCGTCGTGTTTGGCTGATCACTCCGGTCCAACCGACTCTGGTCCGCACATCGACCTCCCTATGACGAATTCGCTTCATGAGGCACATACGAACTCAGACACGCATTGAAGTGCAAATACGTGTCAAAATGTCAGATTTTAAGACATATTGCAAGACATTCCAATAATGTCGTTCCAATTGCTCGACCTTTTTCTCCCCACCCTGGGTTGCGAGGGGACGTGCGACGTGCTTTTCCCGTCCTTTTCGAGCGACGCCGGAACTCGACGGAACTCGACCGCAGGATCAAAGCTGGCTTGCGGATCCCATCGCTGGTGTCGGCCGTGCAGATTCTTTATGATCCTCGTGCGTGATTTTTCTTGTCGGGCGGTTTTTGTTGAACATAGGATCATTGATTGAATTAAATTGAATAATGAGAACTCTGAAATGCATAATGTCATGAGATGTCATGTGTCTTAAAAATTAAAAGTTTAGGTTTGTTCCTTGCGTGCATTTCCATGGGAATCCGGTGGAGATTGCGGAAGAAAAACAATTCAGAGAGAATGCGGTAGTCTAAGCAACATGCAAGTGGATCAGGAGCTTCTTTTGGAAAGGACAATGGTTTAAAAAGCCCTCTTCCACTTCCATGATTGTTCGATGGGGAGTGATAAACCAATTTTATCCATTATTGCAGGTTGAGGAGGCCCATCATTTCGAGATGACCCTTGTTGTTCTCATGACGGAAGATGGTGTGTAGTGTGTTGTGTTAAAGCCACCCAGCGTGCACGTACTCTCAGCACGCATGGAATAAACAACTGATCAAATCCCACCCAAGCTCCACAAAACGATGGAAGTAGAATATGGATGAAAATGGCCTCGGGGTAGTTGCTTGCAAATCCGCAACAAACGGTTCTGCACCGCTTGACAGTCATGCACACCGCCTGAAGCCTTTTGCAACGTCTCTTACTCTTTGGTCCAAGGATGACGTCATGCCTTTGCGCATGGGTGCAGATCTAGTCTCCCGACAGCTGGATCAGAAGGTTCGCGAAGCGCCCTGGCAGTGGCGGTTCGCTCATGTGGCTGTGACATGACATGACCTGGGTGAACTGGACGCTTGAGACCGGACTGCCAGTCAATCCCTCTCCACTGGAGACCCTTCATGTCATCATGGTTCCATGCGAGATCCATCCTATAAAGCACGCCCATGATGAGCGCAACATGTATCTCTCTTCCATTGGACTTAGCAGACCTAGCGTTGGTCCAAGCGTGCCCCATCGTGATGAGGAGTGGACCAACTGCAGCTTGAGACAGATACCGGGGGTTCCATCTCTAAATTCGGATGTGAAATCTAAATGATCATGGATGATCATGATACTTTTCCATATTCAAGGATTCTTTTCCATGCCAAACACTGGCATTCCACTTCGTGGATGAACCCAAATAATCATTTGTTGATTTAAGTCAGCCATACTCTAAAGCATGTCAGTGCATTAGAAGTGCAGAAGTCTACTACCAGAACCCTCCAAGAGCTAGGTCGGGTTCAGAAAGTGGGGACGGGTCAGAACGGACCTCTTCAAAGTCGTCGATGTGAACGGCAGGATGAGTGCGAACACCGGCCTCACCGGCCTTCGCCCAGGTATCGGAGCGCATCAGCAGCGACATCCCGGATGGTCGCCCGGATGGCGGAACGGAGTGGAGTACCGAAATGGGTGGGCACACGGCATGTCGCCCCTCCAAAAGGATTTGTAGATGGTGGTAGTGTCAGTTCCGTTTTTTTTTGACTTGGGATATATTGCGCCCATTGAGTGGAAACCGCCAAGCAGTTTAAACAACCGGATCTCCATGGAACCTCCCACACTCTCTCCGATACATCAAGCCCGGGTTCCAAGCAACTAGGATTCCTCAACTGGCAGGTCTTCCCGACAGGACCTTCCCGCCAGGACCTTTAGTTACAAAGAGATCTCCACCATACTCCTCGTCAACTGCCACTCTTTGAGCACAGACATTGTTCCCATAATATTCCCCTGTGTTGGTCCAGAGGCCTAGATTCACAAACCCGTTGCGAAATTTGACTTCTTTCCAGTTTCAATATACCAGTTTCGGATAGTTTCGGAACCTCTGTTTCAGAATCGCAGTTTCACTGTTTCAAAATCCCAGTTTCAGAATCCGGTTTTTGACCGGACTACTCTGAATGGTCACGCCTGAGGATTGCAAAAAGGGCTCAGACAGACGGCCCTGAGTTCCGGAAGGTCCAAGGCAGTTCCTTGTTTGGACGAGAGACCTCCATGAACCAAGAGAACCAAAAAGGAACTTAACCATACCATCCCCTAGATTCCACCTTCATACAGACAACGCGGACCACCAGAAACAGTGGAGGAAGGAGATCCCAACCCACCTGAAATGGCAGAAGGGGTTGACACAAAGGCCGCGCCCGCACCATTTTGAGTTCCTGCTCCATCCAGAAGCCGCCTCACTTGGCCAGCATCGATTGTACTCTTCGCTTGGAGCTCGATGGTTTGGCCATCTTTCACCCAAACATCGCGAAATGAATGTCTCACACACTGTCATCCCAGTGTTTGCCCCAAAATGTTCAGTCACCTCTTCCAACCCACAAAAACAACATAAAACACTCATTCTTCTCAAAACAACTCCCCCCCCTTTCACACACCCCGCCGTCCTCTCCGACTTCCTCGTTCTTCTCG